TTCGGTTCACGTACCGGTGATGACCACGACACGGACACGTTGTCCCTAGAGCTGAGCGCAGCTTCAGCATCCATGTCGACCGAAGGAGGTTCTCCCCCACCAAGGGTGGGCCGCCAGCATCCGTGGGGTGACCCATGGCGAGAAGTGCCGGAACACGTGGGTGGCGAGCGTTGTTCACGAAGAACGGCGTCATACCCGTCGAGGAGTGCTCGGCGTTGTTGAGTGCGAACTCGGCTAGCGGTAGGAACGAGCTCCAGCTCGTGTACGAAGTTGCATAGCTGCGGAGAACGTCTTCAAGGACGCGGTTGACGCGTTCTGTTTGTCCATCCGTCTCCGGATGTGCCGCAGTTGACATCAGCAATTTGGTTCCCAAGAGCTCGAAGAGGCGGGACCAGAACGCGGATGTAAACCGCGGGTCACGGTCGGACACGATAGACTCCGGCAGGCCGTGGTAACGAAAAATCACGTCGACGAAGTGGGCCGCGGACTCTTCCGCGGTGATTGAGGCCGCCACCGGAACGAGATGGACCATCTTGCTGAAACGATCGACGAACACAAGTACACCTGTGCGCCCGGCTGTATCGGGCGGAAGACCGAGGATGAAGTCCATCAAAATGGAGCGCCAGGCTTCCGTGGCGACCGGAAGAGGGCGCAATGGGGCCTGAGACGTCGAAGACGGTTTGACTCGCTGGCAAGTTTCACATGTGCGGACCCACTTGCGTACCCACTTGTACATGTGCGGCCAATAGAAGTCTCTCGACAGAGCCGCGTACGTCTTCTCGCGACCGAGATGTCCTCCAGTCGGGGCGTCATGTTACTCGTGGATTATGCGCGCACGTAGATCAGCGTCGTTTGGGACGACGACTCGAGGTCCATCGAACCTGTCGATGCTGTACTTGAGCAGATTACCGTCCAGTCGATATCGATCGATCTGATTCCGCGTGGTCTTTGACAGGGCACTTAGCGTGTCACTACTAGGAGCACGCAGGTGCTTCATGATGGCGCCGTATATAGGGTCATCATCGTACGCTGTAGCAATCTCGTCGCCCAGCGGGAGCGTGGGCGTTGTCAACATCAAGTTGATGCCTGACGACACGCAGACCGCACATTCGTCGTCGTCCTCATCAGCGAGCTGATGTCCTAGCGCTTCACGGGGATCGTAGTCCGGACGCCGAGACAGCGCGTCGGCGAGAATGTTATTCTTGCCCGGCTTGTAGTGAACAACGAAGTTGTACTCGGAGAAGAATGACAGCCAACGGGCCATCCGTTGCGACAAGTGAGGGCTCTTCATCGCTGTCCGCAGCGATGCG